GCTCGTGGACCTTTCCTGAACCCCCCCCCCCCCCACTTCGTTACCTGTCCTATCAAATTAAAGGCAAAAACTATAAAAATAAATCAAAATACCATGGTATTTTGTACATGTATTATGGTATACTTGGAAGTATCATGGAGTACCATATAAAATACAATATAGTAATCCCAGTAAGCAAAGTACCATAGTTTTGCCATCACTGTACCATATTACCGCCACATTAAATTTTTTTGTAAGGGCTGTAGTATCCGTGTAGTATTATTCCCCAAAATACCATATTCTAGTCAGTGTTATTATAGTAAATTTCCACAGTTAGTGTCATAGTGGTAAAACCATAGTCTGTTTGCATAAGGCTGATGTATTCAACCTCAAAAGTACATCACATGATCATGTGGTGAATTTCTTGAAAGTTGGGGGGTTTTTATGATGTGCCGTGATGGCCTGAGGCGGTTAGCCTGACAGCTTTTTAGATTCTTAATCCTGAACTTTGATGTGCTTACACATGTGATGGAACGTGCACGGTTGATCATTTGGCATCCTAACCAGGGGAAACCTGTTAAACGTGTTGCTTAATTTCCTCTGTGTACACAGGAAGTACTCTTTGTTCAGAAAGAGAAGGAGAGAGAGCAAAAGAAAGTCTTTAAAAACTTTTAGCAGTCTTCATTTGCTTAGCAAACTAGTGCTAAACAGTACAGTACTAGCTCTGAGGTATACAGTATGGGAGGATTGTTGCAACACAGTGGTTGGTTGAGTATCTGTTCTCCTCGTATTGCCTGAAGGGAAACGTTTGTCAGACTGCCATGCATCTGCAGTCATCAATCCACAACTTTTCTTCCTCTTCTCACCTGCATGCTACCTTTCCACTCATCTGTCTGTGATCCCTCCATCACAAAGATGTCATCTTTTCCTTGTTCCTTTTATCAAACATGCACACAAAACTCACCTCATCCACCTCAGATTCTTCTCATTGGAGCCACATGAAATGGACAGAAAGAGCGACCGGGATGGAAGACCGAGAGAAAGTCGGAAAGGAAGGGGAGGTCTTTTGTTGGGATGATCAGCATTATCTGGGGATTCTGAAGAGGAAAAAGATGTTTCCTGATACTCTTCCACTTTGGCTCAGACCTGAAATATGGTCAAGATGTCCAAGTTCACCAGTTCCCTTCCATTTTTTTAAACATAGCTCTCAGAAATAAGGATGTGATTCTCGAGTTGCAGAAAAAAAACTTTCAACGCAAATATTATCTTTACCTTGTAAGAGTCCTGCAAGAATTGTGTAGCTGGTAGCTTGTTTTGTTACATGCTAACTGGATTTTAGCTGGTCATTATAGCATGTACAAGCAACCTTCGACCATTGACATATGAGCTAAGGACAGTTGAGCTGGTTTTTAACACATGGTGGCTGGTGAAACAAGGACATCACATTGATTTTGGACCAGCTAGCATGTTTCCAGTTTAAACTAGATTTTCCAACAGGGACTAGCCGTTGAAAGTGCAATTATTAGCCTAGGCCTACTTGTTTGCTTATCACTTGGTGACATCAGTTGCTTTTATCCTTAGTGACTTACAGGTTACTTAATTGCGATGACGGCATATCTGAGGCAGCTAGAAATTAGTCTTGTTGAGCTTAGTCCTTTTAAGTGCATGTGGTGACCTTGTTTTATCACTTCAGCTACTTTAAAATTAGGCTACGTCCACTTTACTTTTTTCTATGTATATTTGTTTATCAGGAAGTGATTGTTCATTTAACAAGAGCAAAAAAAAAATTAGGGATGCACGATATTGGATTTTTGCCGATATCCGATATGCCGATATTTTTCAAATCATTTTAGCCGATACCGATATATTTCCTTTTGTTTGGAAACAACACCAAGTCTCTCCTGTGCAGAAACTATAAGCAAAATATTTTTAATTTTGGTTAGTTTTTAACAAGAACTTATTTGTTAGAATTAAATAAACAACAATGAAGGTTTTTTTGACAGTACATTGAAGCTTTGAAAATAACTATAAATAAACTATATATCAATCACTGCATTTTTTCCCCCAGAAAGATTAAGGTTAACCCTAACATTTTATTTTCAGATTTAACATTTGTAGATGGTCTAAA